TATGTAATCTGGCTAGAACTTTCCAAAAGGAGAACCGTGTGATTGGCTACCAGGAGAGTATTTAAGCCAGCAGGCTTCTGCCCAAGGCGGAGACCAGCTCAGAAAATCAGAGAGCGGAGACCAACTCTCACAGAACCCTGGTTCGCATGAGCCCAGAGTTACCTCACAGGCTGGCCACTTGTGATTGTCTCCCCACCATCGTCGTGTCCCGGCGTACCCCATCCTCACACACACTCAACTTGTTTCAACTAACTCGTCCGTCTGCCACCGTCATCTCCTGGCGTACCCCACCCTCACACACGGTTGTCTTTGTTTACTGCTGTTGTTGTAACCAAGCCTGACCTGTGCTACACTACTGTTACCTGGTGGCTTAAGTAAAAGAAAATAAAAGTTTGTTTTACAACCATACGAATACTGACCGCCTGACCCCTCATTGCTAGCCCCCACCTGCTCGATCGTGTCGGCCCAGACCGTGACCAGGCAACTTGGTCGCCACACAGGTCAGAGCAGCCCATGGCTCAACATGCTGCAGAGGGGCTGACTGGGATGTGAGGGTGCCTCAGTGTGAGGGCTGCTTGCTGGCTTGTGCCCCAGTCCTCTGGGTCAATGTTTACACATGAGCTGCTGCATAGTGTTTTACTCCACAAAAATATAGTAGTTGTATTTACTAATACTATCCTGCTGTGGATTAAATTAGTTTACTCCAGCCTAATAGGGGCGCATGTGTAGATACTGAGATGTTTATTGCACAGCTAATTAGTTTACTGCACAGTAAATTTTTCATGTAGGTGTGACCCCTACAATTCCTGGGTTATGCTTTGTTCTTTAGGACAGTTGGCTGGAAAATCTAAAATTTGGAGTTTCTTATGAAAAGGGGGCAATTTTTTCTCACAAATATGTTCCTGAAAAATGTGTCTCCTTTGTGTAACCTGCTCTGTTCTTCATAGCCTTTTCCTGTTATACTTTTTACTGTGCTGTTGTAATCTGGTAAAAAGTATGTATAGTATAGTTGTGTTCTGAGTAGTGGGTGTTCGCAACAATTGACACTGTTGAAAGATTTTACTAATTCAAGTTGAATTTTACCTTTTACTTACAGAAAATATTATTGAGAAGAGTAGACTCTTTCAAAACAGTAGAACATTTTTAGTTTGTCCAGTATATTTTCAATAGTCTTGCTCCACTAATTTTGCGGACTTTTTCCTAATTAGGGATATGGTGGCAGGGTGGTTAAGGTGTCTTGCTATAGCTCTAGCAGCATGAATCCAAGCCTTACCCTGCCAAAGGCTACCTTGTCCTCTTCAACTCAGCTGTAAATGGATGATTGGTCATTTAGGCTAGGGTGTCAAATGGTGGCTGGATGTGATGCTAGCCTCATCACTTGCTTGTGTGCGGTTCATTATAGAAAGCGGCTAATCTTAATCATAGTAGAGCTGCACCATATAGGCCGAATCAAAGATGTATAAGCTTTGTCAGATGCATGTGTGTGACCCGGGCAAGTCTCTTCCCCTTTCTGAGCCTTCATTTCTTCTCTCACCCTTTTGCAGTCATTGATGAAGGGGCCATTTATCACCAAGATATGTAGTGTATGTCACACAGTTGGGTTTTCATGCCCTGAGTAAACTTTCATGGGCAACGGCTCACTTTGACAGCTGCATCTCTGATTCCATTGGTTTATAAGGTAAAACCCTACCCTGCTTCATACATGACTAACTACCTCTCTTTTCCTTAATCATGTTAACCTGAGGGTCCATTGAACTTGAAAATATCATTGACCTTTCTCCCAATAAATAGCCATTTATCTTGCACTGTACTAAGTATTTCCTTATGTTTTTTGCACTGGTGATCCAAGTGAAATCCTCTGTAGCCCTAAAACTGTATTTATTTCTGTCTTGAGTACCTTGGACCAATAGTATTTCAATTCAGGAAATTTCCAGAATAAAAGTAAAATAGTTTTCCATTTGCATGATTTCACCAGCAAAGTTCAGTTTCCTTTTATACATTTCTTTTTTTAGACTTTGGGGAAAGCAGCCCTGAAGCATTTCTTCAAGTAATTCTTAAAGTAAATGTTAAAATTTAAACTAAATAACTTTTCACCAAGTTAAAGGTTAAAGTTAAAAGTGTCCCATGTTGAAACTTTGCCTTGGGAATAGGTTCTGTCACATGCAACTACCAGAAGAACTAGGGGAGAAGTTTTTGTGTGCAAGTGCACACTTCAGGAAATTCACACATTGCATATAAATATTGTAACAAGTACAGTATTTTTGGACCTCTACCTCTTATGCAGCTACTGTAAAGACATGGCTAAGAGTGGGAAGTGTGCTTTCACACAGTTAAATCATAGAAATCATAGAGAAGTAGAGCTGGAAAGGACCTCCAGAGGTCATCTAGTCTAACCTTGTGCTTGAGGCAGGATCATCCTTATCCAAAGCATCCTATCCAATCCATAATATAATTTTTTGTAAGACTGCTGTTAGCCCTGTACCACCCTGTGCTGATGTTTCTGGATATTAGCATCCAAACAGGAATTTTGGAAACTAGATTACATTGTATCTCCTTATAACACATTTCTGCCTAGAGACTTGCTTCTGCTCCCAGGGAAATTAATGGCAAAAGTTCTAGAAAGATCAGTCTCTATATGTAGGTTTATGAGCAGTCTCATGTCAATTGTGTGCATCAAAATGACTGCATTGTATTCATCCTAGTCTGTCCCATCAGAATTACTCTTCAGGTTTTGAGTGGTGTCATGCAAGTTACTGACCCAAGGAGATACAATTTCCATTCTGTTTGTAAAACACAGAAGCATTTTGAAATCAGTGAATAAAAAATATTACCAAGGTGCTAAGTTGTGGTTTTTGTTGTTATTATTATTGTTATAATTATACTGGCTGCCAATGACCCAGTAAAATGGGTCTGAACAAATGGATTTACAGGTATTTGTCCTCATAAATTTTTTAAATCTATTGTTCTTATCTTTACTATAAAGACATTGATATTGTTACCCCTTTCATCATTTAGTCTAGATGTGTCAGTGGAATGGATACTTACATTGCAAAAATATCATCACACTTGGCATTTATTGACAACTTTGTTGGATGTTTCATCAGATGAAACAAGGATTCTATGGGGATGGGAATGAAATTATCCTGTCACCTCTGACAGACCCCTTTGTTTAGGAAGACTTTTATTGCCACTCTATTTTGTGGCTAAACAAAGGATATCATTCTTCAGGACTGTCAAGAGAACACCTTCCATGAGCATTAGATATGCATGAAAATATAAAAGAAAAGTAAAAAAAAAAAAAAGGAAATAAAGGCAGTGGTTACTGCAGCTTTCTAAGACAAATGAAGTTGTCATGACTTCTATTAAACACAAGAGCACTGTTTATAGTTAGTTTGCCACGAATGACACAACTAATCCAAGACTGGTTCTTGCAGCATGTTCCGAGGTTTCTGTATATAACAAGCACCTTGTGTAACTCTTGGCTTTGCATCCTGTTATGTATATCTGTATTGGAGGTGAGGGAAATTGGAGGAGAGGGGATTTGCTATTGACTTAAATGGGCTTGAGTCAACCAGGAGATGCATCCAGGAAATAACAAATATTAATGGTGACAGGGTTTTCTCCTAATTCCAAGCAGAGGGCATTGTTTTTCAGTTCTATCTACTGCACTGACAGCGGTGAATGCCAAGTGATAATAATATGTGTACTGAATCCCATTAGCTATGACTACAAAGGAAAGATGTCTTATAGTTGGTTAACTCTTAATTGCTTCAGAGTGCAGCTCTGAGCCAAAATGAACAGATGGGAGAAAAAAATGCCACTGGTTAAATGCCTGTGGGACTTGAGACCTGTAAATGTGAGCACTTTTACGAATCCCATTTAATACATTTTCCAGCATATCCTCAGCCCTCATTTCAGCTCATGAAAACAAGATACAAAGAAATGGACTGATGAAAAACTTCAGACCCAGATTTGATCAAGGCTAGTGGGACCTCAGAACAGTGTGTCAGGTGCTGCAGGTGGGTTGTGACACTTTGACTACATTATCTAGACCCTAAATTAAAAAAAAAGGTGTTTCCCTGTAGGGGTCACAACAACCCTGTAGCCTGATCAGCTTCAAGGCACTCTTCTCCCCTGCTGCTGAGCCTGCTCAGGACCTCCAAGCTGGCCTAGGAGGAGCTTACCCTCTGGGCAAGGAGGAAATGGGAGATAGGGGCAGAAACCCTAACAGGTTTTTTAGATCCAGGTAGACAAAGCCTTGGCTGGGATGAGATGGCAATGATTGTGATTTGAGCGGGGGGGTCAGACTAGATGATCTCCTGAGGTCCCTTCCAGCCCTAATTTTCTGATTCTAAATGGGAGGAGAATGGGAGAGAGGGCTAGTGCTACATCTTTCACAGGCAGCTTCAGGCCATCCTTACCCAGGACCACAGCATGGAAATGACAATGCAGCCTTGTGCCTGGATGTTGCAGCTGTGAAAAATTGCTCCCTGGGGACTGGATGCAGCTGCATCCTAGGCCTCCATCTCTCTGCCAGGGCTCAGCGCTGGGGTTTTTATCAAGCTGACTGCAGAGGGGAGGGGGGATGCACAGACATCCCTGCAGGACCTGGTGTGCTCTGTGCTTGCCTGCAGGCTGCTGCTGCTGCTGCTGCTGCTCTCAGCAAGAGACAGGCCACCTGCAAAATCACACAGGCAGGAGGGGGGGCAGGCCCCAAATGTTTTGCATCATTGAGGGCTTCAGCTGTAGACCAGGCCAGGAGCCAAGGTCAGGCTGGGTGGTCCCTGCCAGGTTTACTCTTAATCCAACAGAAATGGCTTTCCCTGGCTTTGGGGATGAGGTGGGGGGGGGGAGTGGGAGGTGTGCTTGATTGCTTTCTGGCTGGCTTCCCTCCAACCTGGCTGATCACACTGCTCCTGAATCAGGGATGCAGGGATGCATTTTCCTAGGTAGCTGTTGTCAGACTTCACAGCCAGATGCAGAACCAGATGAGGGGGAATTTCCTCTGTCTTTTACTCTGGCATCCCTGCCCAGGCATGCCTGAACCTGTCAGTCTTTAGGGCCTGGCTGACTGCATTTGTGCTGCTTGTGCAGGCTGCATCTAAGCTGGGTGGGGGGGAGGGAAGCATGGCATCTGTTCCTGGAGGAGGAGCTGATTAGCGACCTGCAAGCATCAAAACAGAGGCACTTTAGCAGCCTTTTAATAAGTTACCCCCCTTTCCCTCCTGTTCCCTGCCATCCCCAGAAAAAAGTCTGATTAAAAATCTCCCTTGTAGATGTATAGGAAACCCTCCTGAGTGGGAGAGGTGGATGAGCATCTCAGCAGGGAGCTGGACGCCATGGAGCACATCCGAACACCCAAGGTTGGTACCTACCCGGGAGGCTGGGGGGGAAGGACGGAGGGATGGATGGATGGTTGCAGTGAGGAGGGATGGAGCTATGCTGCCTGGCTCAGAAGAAGCCAATAGGAGGAAAAACATGGCTTTTATATGGTGATGATTTGGGGCTCAGATTTAAAAAAAAAAAAAAAAAAAAAAAAAAAAAATTAGCTCGAAACCCTGTGGGGCTGTCTGGCTGCCTATCGTACCTGTGCTTTTTAGCTGCTTATTTTTTTTCAGCAACTCACTATTCATTTAGCTAAAATATCCCCACACGTGTAAAACGTTGCTATGTAATGTTGAGTGAAATGTGTGTTAGGCAATTTACCCTTATTCAGCCATGATGCCTTATGTAAACCCCATCCTGGATGTCTGTAGTTAAACCAGAAGGAAAGATACTTAAGTTGTTTTCTTCTTCATAATCCCTTAGTTTATTCCATTATTTCAAAGTCTTGGCAGAGATTTAATATCGCTTTTAGCATTTGCTATTTATCTAGCCTAATTAGCATATAGCTTTGTATAGGGGAGGCCTGTATTTGTCTGTGAAACCACACTTTTTTCTGAAAAGATGAACGTAGATGCAAATATGTTTTCAGCATATCAAAACCGAAGATAATGAAACATTCAATCAGAAGCAAAAAGAAAAGAAAAAAAAAGAAAGCTACTAATAACATCTCTAGCTTAGTGAGGAAATTGTATTAATTTCCTATTTTTGTTTCGGCTAAAAATGCATTTTTATAGCCCTGAAGCTCTGATTTCTAATAGTTCTTCATGTCTGGTTGTATATGGTCAGGCTTCATTACTGATGACCATCATGGTGATGTGGATTCAAGATCAGGGCCTGCTGTTGGATTTGGATGTTGGGGCCTCTGGCTTCTGTACAATGAATGTGATAGTTTCTTTTTCATCTCCTTCATGAAAAAAAGCCTTTTGTTTCATGGGATTCACTTGGCTTCCTGAGCGAAGCAAAAACAACCCCCTTTTTAGTGTCTACTCCACCACAGGTGGGAAATACCCAGTGAGAATTATGTAGAATTATCTAACTGAAAAACAGTGAATATGTATAGAGGAAGAAATTAGCAATTGATTAATAAAGGCAGAACATTAAACATCTCCTAAGAATGAAAAGCTTAAATGATCTAGCGCTCATTTAAAGCAATACTATTTTGGCCACTGGCTCGTCAGGGAGCAGAAGCAAATCTTAAAATTCTTACTATCCAAATATAAAATGTGTTTTATATCAGCCAAAAAAAAGACTGCTAGTGCTGGTGTTGCACTGATCATTCTAGTCAGGATTGGATGGCTGTGGGTCCTAGGCTCTAAACAGCCTATTTTATTGTCTTTGAATAATAATTGTGGGGATTCTTTATCTGATATAATAATGCCATTTGGAGGATCATTTTTGGAAGAGTGATGTTTACACAGACCTATACTTAACATAATTGTAACCCCGGCAGTACTCCAAGAGGTACCCCCTCTCCAGTTGAAGGGATCAAAGCAGGTGCACAAGCACTGCGGGAGGTGTAGGGACTCTCCTCCCCTATAGAGCAGAGGGAGACCACCAATGGGGATTTAACCATATACCTTTTAATACTGGGAACATAACAGGCATAAATCAGAGGGTATAGTGGACACTACAACGCCCCAAGGGGGAAGGATTCAACAAAGGTTAGACACTTACAATCACTGACAAAACAGGGTTAACAAAATATAAAACTCAAAGAGCAGAACAAACAATATGGGTTGGTGAAATATACAAAGGGCACAAAATGCAAAATGTCAAATGACAAGGAAACATAGGGCCTTGGTACCTGGAGAGAAGTCACAATGGCCCCTCTTCCACTGTAAGAGGACTTACTTCTTCTTATTTCACTCACCCCAACTGGGACTTAAACCCAGATCTCCAACATGGTAGACAGGAATACTGCCACAAAGCCACCAGCAGTGGAACTGCTCTAACCTGCTAGGGGTCTTGACTGTCCGGAAGCCCCAGCCTCACATTGAGCTGCCTGACCTCTGATTGGGGGAGCTGGAAGCAGAGCTGGGAACCGTTCAGGTCACTGCTCAGATCCTTCCTGGAGCTGGGGAGCCTCTCCTGCTGGCTGCAGCCTCTCTTTGGGGATCCTGGAGCCCAGTGGGGGGGGCCTCTCCTGCCAGCTGCATGCCGCGCTGCTGAGGGTCCCACTGCTGCCTGCAGGTCCTGCTCTTTCAGGGCACTGCTGCTGCCCCGCTGGCTCAGCTCTATGAAGCCCCTTCCTTGTTGTCCCTCACTGGTCTCTCCCCTGAGCCAGGCCATGATGCCCCTTTTATCCCCCTCCAGGTGACCCAAGGGGCCAATCGGGACACAGGGAGGTTGAGTATCTGGGGCCTGATTGATGTGGAAAGGGAATCCCAAGTCCTCCAATCATCTTTTGCCCTTTCAAAACCCCTGGGCCAGGTCACTGCCAGCCAGCCCATCACATCATCATATAAAATTATAAGAAAAAATACACTAAACATGAGTTGGTTTTGAAATACATCTCCTGCCCATTTTCCCTTAGATTGCACTGAAATATCATTAACGTTAGTGACCTGACAAATCAAATATCTTTGGTTTGGATGTAAAAAGCCAGAAATATAACAGTCTGCTTTCTACTAAATTTGTATTTTTTTATCTGGATCTTGGTATGAAGCAGACCATTTCCAAGCAACTTAAGAAATAAAATGAAATAATTGTGTAAAGTTAAAAGATAGTCTAATTAAAATCCAATGTTTTCTCCACCCCTTTCAACTTCATCCTCAGTTTAGTAGGTTGGTTGTTTTCTAGATATATTTCATACAACTTCTTACAGTGAAAAACCTAGTCAACTCCCAAATCAAAGTAAAATGCACACACAGAAATCTAACAAAATCTGAAATATCAAAAATGAAATTCTTATCCCAACCAAAGTTTTTATCCACAAAAAGGAAAGGTACTTTAGCTAATATGAAGCCCCTCAGGGATGTAGCTATTGCTATTAATTTTAAATGGTAGATGCTTAGGTACAAAGGTGATGACTGGCAGTATAAAACCTTAAATAAACCTGAAATCTCATTCATGAATGTATCTTGCAAGCAGTTGTGTAATTTTGTTAATTATTGTTAATTATCCATTATGATTTTACAAAAAGAGAGCCTAGCCAGCTATTGTTATCACTTTCTCCCTCTGAAATACATTTTTCTAAAAGATATAAATAGATTTTAATCAGACAAATGCATGTATGCAGTCTGAAACATCCTTGAAATTCATCCTTTAGCCACAGAGCTTTAAGCTCTGGCAGTATTGATCAGGCTTTTATGTTTCCAGTAAATCTACTATAATGCTGAATATGTGCTTCAAGGCCAGTATTTGATGTACTCAAGTCAAGTAGAGAAGCCCGTTTTTGCCACAGTTGATTTAAACCAATGTATCAGTTTGCAGTATGCTTCAAAGTGCAAGGAAAAGAAAAATATATATGTGTAATTTACGAATAACATATAGTGGTATTCAGAAATAGTATTAAGTAAATTTTCAGTTCTTCCTTAAATAAGTGATACAACGAGACACTTTATTATTTACAATTTGTATTACAGGCCAGGATCAAGGCCTCATTGTACTTCACACTGTACAGACATAAAGCAAAGGATATATCCTTTCTCTGAGTAAACAAGAGCAACATAGTGTGCCCTGGAAAATTATGGAATAGAGAAGTGAGGTGACTCAAGGTCCTATGGATAATTAATGGCAGAAATAGAATTCTTGAGTTCAGTGCCCTGTCCCCTAGACCAGTAGTTCTTAACCTGTGTTTCACGAATCTCTGGGGCTCTGCAGAATGTATCAAAGAGGTCGGTGAAAAATGACTGTGATCAATCAAAAGTATATCAATACCCACACTTACAATTCAAAGGGGTTCACACCTCCATTCAAATTTTTTGGGGGATCTGCAAATGAAAAAGGGTTAAAAGCCACTGCCCTAGACTAACTACCTTCCTTGAAAACCATGTTTTCATTTGTATTTCCTTATCTGGAGACATGCCAGAGTTGTAACAGGCATGGGAGTGGATGAGGATCGCTACCTCTACCATTGTTTATGAGGAACTCTTTCAGCATAAATTCTAGCTTTTGAAACTTTTTCATTCTAATGTGCCATGACAGCCTGAAAGCTGTTTTCTATAGAGGGTCTGACACCAAAAGATGTCAAGTACTACAACAGGTTAGCATTCCTTTCCTTGAAGGGTGTTACAGATTCAAGGCCCTATAAGGATCAGACACAGTAATTGTAATAGAGTCAATCCATATTAAAAGAAAAAAATGGAGAGTTTGAATACAAGCTGTTCTATTTCCAGTAATTCATGAGATAATGAACATAGTTATTACCATACATAGTTATGTATAGAATAAGAACTGCCATACTAGGTAAGACCAATGGTCCATCTAGCCCATTATCCCCTTCAGTATCCTTCCTGGCATCCTCTATTTATTGGGTTAGAAATGCCAGAAGAAACATCTGCAAGCATTCTGTTCAATAGCCAGTAAAAGATCTACCATCCCTTAATTTATCCCATTTCTTTCTGAACCTGGCTATTCTATCTGCTTCCACCACTTCCTGTGGCAATGAATTCCACAAGTATACTACACATTGGGCTCATCTACCTGTGCACATTTACTACACAGTAACCCAAATTATGGCACAGTGCGGGTGCACATCTACATGGCCATGCCTGTACTGCGCAGTAAATATGATGATTTATGCCAATTTATGCCAACGCATCATGCAGGTATCAAATTTATGCCCGATTAGTTACTGTGCAGTAATAAATCTGTAGATGCCTTACTGTGCAGCAACATTGTGTGTGTGGACTGATTTGGGACTAATTTTGGTCCCAAGGTAGTCCACACACAGTGTTACTATGCCTTAATGCCTACACGTGTAGACGCTGGCCTATTCCCACTTATTGTAAATTTAAGCCACCATAAATGAACGTGT